CCAACATCAATTTAGTAACATTTTCGTACAGATAAAGTGTACGTTTTCAGAAGAATCTCCATGCATCAACCTCAGATACAAACTGTGACCTTAATACGAAATTGCAGGATTTTAGCTCCTTAATTTTCCCATTACCAAATTTAGTGCCATTTAGTACAATTTTGGTATGCATATCCAAACCCAGCTCATTCTCTTAACCAGATACAGCAACAATGACATTTATAGTAAATTTCAGGATTCAAGCTCTATCCCTTCACTAAGTACCCAATTTAGTACTATTAAGTAATTTTCGTACAATTGTAGTACACATGTATAAAATCACGTCCGTATCTCAATTTCATATGCCATTATCAAATTTCGTGATTTCAGCACTATACCTTCACCCAATACCGAATTTAGTACAACTTAATACTTTTCGAACAAATATAGTCCACATTTTCAATACTACCTCCATATCATGACAAGAGACACTAGCAGTGACATTTATACCCAATTTCTAATCCTTCATCCAATGCCAAATTTAATAACATTTAGTTATTTTCGTACAATTAAAGTATATATTTCCAAACCCACCTCCATATCTCAACTTCAAATACTAACCGTCACCCAGTACCATCTTAAGTACCATTTAGTACTTTTCGTACAAATATAGGACGAATTTCCAAACCAACGCCAAATCTCAAATACTAACATACAGATCATTACAGTCAAAGATGCCAGCCCTATCACGTCATCCAGTACCAAATTTAGTACAATTTAGTACTTTTTGTACAAATATAGGAAGAATTTCCAAACCAACGCCAAATCTCTAATACAGATACCATTATTTATCTAAATATCAAATTTCAAAATTTTATCTCATTCCCTTGGCCAAAAGCCAAGTAAACTACCATTTAGTACTTTTCATACAATTATAGTAGGGTAAGTGTGCCTAAGTTCGGCATGTCCCAGTAGTCGGCACTTTTTATTTTTAAGCCCAAATAAATGAAACAATTATAACTAAATATATTTTGTTTACTTCAAATATATTGTCAGCTGTCTTTGTGCACAATTTCGCTAAGAAAAGATGAATTATTCTAATAAAAATTAAATTTTTGTCTGTGAAGGTTCCCAACAATTCATATTCTTAAGAAAATTACAATAAAGACGTCGAATCAGTTAACTAAACAAAAATTTTCCAGAGAACGGCCCTTGTAAGCCATCATCCACATCAAATATGCCTGATGAGCCGCTTAACCAACGGCGAAACGCGTCGCATAGTGGTGAGTGTGTGATAGTGTCTATCTGGCTTTCCTTTTCACTGCAAATTTCAGATCATTAAGCTCGTCTCGAAAGAGAAAACAATCACTTTAATCATAAAACATATGATCTTCGCCTTAACAAGGCAAAACTCAAAAATTCAGCCGAGCCTGGCTGTGGGATTTGAACCGCGGACCTCTGTGTGCAGCCAACTAGAAGTTGCCGTCTCTACGTTCAGAGCCATTAACCCGTCTTCCTAAGCAGCACTAAAACAAGTGTATGCATTGGAAGCAATGTAGTTGTTGTGGACAAAAAATCTATCACTACAAAAACAAAACGTTGCTGTGAAAAAGATCTGCCAATAGAACTTGAGTCGAACCTGGAGAGTTTCTAGTGTATAATTCGCATATGCTAATTTGCAATAAGTTCGAAATATAGGGTAAGTGTGCCTAAGTTCGGCATGTCCCAGTAGTCGGCACTTTTTATTTTTAAGCCCAAATAAATGAAACTATTATAACTAAATGTATATTGTTTACTTCAAATATATTGCCAGATATCTTTGTGTACAATATCGCTAAGAAAAGATGATTTATTCTAATAAAAATTAAATTTTTGTCTGTGAAGGTCCTTAACAATCCATATTCTTAAGAAAAGTACAATAGAGACGTCGAATCAGTTTAACTAAACAGAAATATTATATTTTAATGAATTAATTTATTATTATTATTAATTATTCTTACAAAAAATTTTGTTTGCCGACTGTTGGAACATGCCATACCGCCAATTGGCAAGTGGTGCCGACTACTGGCAAAAAAGCATTGTTTTAATAAAACTACAAATTTATGAAATTTAATAAAAAGTTATTAAAACTTTATTTATTATTGCAAAAACTATACAAAATTTCAAATATGAATAAATTAACTTTGTAATAATTGAAAAGTTCCACTCAGAATGGTGAGCGATTAAAAACGCGAAAATCCTTAAAGTGCCGACCACTGGTACACTTACCCTATACTACTTTCCAGAGAACGGCCCTTGTAAGCCATCATCCACATCAAATATGCCTGATGAGCCGCTTAACCAACGGCGAAACGCGTCGCATAGTGGTGAGTGTGTGATAGTGTCTATCTGGCTTTCCTTTTCACTGCAAATTTCAGATCATTAAGCTCGTCTCGAAAGAGAAAACAAACACTTTAATCATAAAACATATGATCTTCGCCTTAACAAGGCAAAACTCAAAAATTATTATATTTTAATGAATTAATTTATTATTATTATTAATTATTTAAAAAAAAATGGTATGCCGACTGTTGGAAAATGCCATACCGACAATTGGCAAGTGGTGCCGACTACTGGCAAAAAAGCATTGTTTTAATAAAACAAGTAAGCAAAGGCTATAGCCGTGCGGGCCGACCATGTGATACCCTACAACACTACAATATGTGAAAAGCCCCCTCATGTCCAAATCCATTTTGGAATATTTCGCCTTTGAAATTATGTCACGGAGCACTGCCCAGATATTACCCTTAGCATTTTGACCAGGGACATTTTCCCGAAATTTATGCACTCCGTCGCGCTTTTAGTGTTTGTGGTCCATTTTACGGCTAAATATAATCCAAAATGCCAGAATTCTTCACAGTGCTTAACTATCATCTCAGGCGTGTCGATTGGCTTCAATTGTGTGATCAGGAATTTTTTTCTGTTTTTGGTTTATTCGAACCCCCAAATATTTTGTGATCATCTCCAAAAGCAATTTGGCTACATTCGTCAACGAAATCAGCATAAAAAAGCTAGAAGTTCGCCTATTGTGTATTTCGGATATCACATGTAAGTAATGTTGGTATTTTTCACACAAAAGTAGTGGTCCATTCTACCCGCTGTCTAAAATTCGAACTTCATGCAAGATTTCGTGTCCTTTGGTTTCTATTTGCGACCTTTATAACGGCTGCAAAATCAGGAAGATTTTGAGTTGCTGGTCCATTTCAACCCCTAAATATATTGCGGACATCTTTGAAGCCCTTCTAAGCCTAAACCTACCTTTGTCAAAAATTTCGTGAGGATCGAACGACAATTGCAATCTGTATATAAATAATAACCTCAACCTGTGTTGTAAACTCCAAAAATATTACAGAATATACACTTCAATATTATAAGTCAAATTGAAAAAATCGCATGCGATAAAAAATAATAAAAAAAATAAAAAAATGTCACAAAATACTACAAAATCTCTATTAACATCATTATTGGTATCTTTTTATGCGATTTTTTTAGATATTATACTTTTATGCCAAAAGTTCATTCTAATTTTACAAAAAGTATCAAAATCGCTCCAGCCATTCATAGAATATATGCATTATAGCTAACATCCCTTTCCTTTGCATATTTACATTGCATATATGTTGCTATATATATCCGATATATTTACTATCGTCATCTACGTAACGGTCAGAAATTTCCTTTTCGTCCATTTGCGATTTCGCCGGGATTAAAAATATTCGCGGTTTAATGGAAAATTTGACTTTTATTTAACACAAATAGTATGGTATATTTCACCCACTAAATATTACCCGATGATCATCAAAATTGGAAGGTCCCTGCCCAGCCCTAAGCTCTAGCCCCATGCTTACTTCCGCGTCGATTGGTCTATAATTGCGACCTGTAGATCAACTACAAAATCAGAAAGTTTTTCAATTTTTGGTCCATTTCAACCCCTAACTCTTATGCGATCATCTGCAAAAGCAATAGGCTTCTAGTCTGACCCTAGCCCCACCGTCATTCTAAATTTTGTGAAGATCGGACCATAATTGCAAATTAACATGGACAGACGGAAGAACGAACATACATAGCTAAATCTTAGCTCGGCGAGATAGTAAGATCCATATATACTTTCCTGTGTGGGAAACCAGGTGTTACATAATTTTTGTCCCAATCAAACTAATAATACCCCCAACACGTAGTGTTGTAGGGTATAAAAAATCCAAAGGCGGACTTTGACCTTAATTTTCTTTAAAGTCATTATCCCAATTGAACTTTTAACAGTTAAGGAAGTTCAGAATTTGTAACAGAAAAATTGAATGTGAACCACTTTAACACGTTCCGCAGAAAACTATTGCATCCTATTTTCAAAAATTTTTTTCTAATTGAGGTCGTAACCTGAGAGTGATTGAGGTGATCAGAAGCGTATTATTTTGTTTTTGGAATGTACCCAATCAAACGACAACTCTTGACTTTTTGTGCCATTCCATCGAACTCAACCTCGATTTTCTTCACCGTTTTATCAATGGGTGTCATGTTGTTAATCATCTGCAAGTTTAGCTATAAGTTACGTTAAATGACGTCTATTCTTAAATTGATACACAATCTTTACTTACTAATTTCGATACCAAACCTCGTGAAAACAATGCTAAATTGTATGCAAAATATAAACTCTGCCTTGAATATTCTTCTCTACCAAATGGACGGAAAGACAGTTTCCAGGCTGGACCAAAAATATAGAGTATCCGACGAATATTTTGAGGCATTACAAAAGAAATGACAAAATAATTACACCTTTTTATGTGTTATAATAAAGCGAAGTCAACCCATGTTTATGTAATTGACTGAAAATCATTCCATCAGAAATTTGTTCAGATTGGTATGTCATTTCTTCCAAATCAAGAAATAACCATTTCTTTGAAAATTCACTGCAAACACAAACCCAATTATTGGACCAAATGCCATTTTTGATTTTCAATTAAATCTACAAATACAAACACATACAGGCGCAATCCCACTCTCAAACACATGGATACCGGTAAACAATACCTTTAAGCACTGTTAGACATACACATTTCGATAATAATTTGAAATCCTTTTGTAATTAATGCAGAATTTCTTAAACACTCACGTCCTTCAAATTACAAAATGCCTTTCAACCTAATTTGCATAACAACTGCCATTGAAACAATAACAACGACCTCTCATAGCTTTACACTTATCACCCTCGTAAACTGGCTTCGACAGTAACATCTTGTGCAACGGCAATAAGCAGCATCGTGAGTCAACACCACACACACAAACACACACACACACTCACACACCGGGTAACATCAACCGGGAGTCAAAACGACAAGGTGTCAGTGGCAAAAGTTGCCTAATTAACGCAAGAAAATTACAAAATCTTAACTTTGAAAATTCGATACACAAGCGTATCGAGTGTTATGATGAAATTTGCTTTGTAACTATGCCGTCAGCAATGGGTATGTGTATGTGTGTGTGTGAGAGTATACAATTGGCACGACAAGATTAAAGGTGTTATGTATTTAATAGGAAAGGATATTTTAACTGGTGTGTATGGGAGAACATCTCTTGTGAAACGGGAATTCAAAAATATTGAATTTCTTTGCATGATTTTATTAATCCTAAAATGTACCTACTAATTTTGTGTAGCTTTTAAAGAAAATAAATCCTTATACCGAAAACTGAGTAGAAAAGTCAGATCCCCATTCAAAATGTGCAGTATTTTTATAGCCTACACCACACTGCTGTCATGGTATTGTGTCTTTGTGCATTTGTTTATGACATGTAGAAGAAACGGATGTTGGTCTTCCGATAGAATTTTTAATTGGCAAATTAGACCTTAAATTTTGTAAAGAAATATATAAAAAATTCTATTAAAACGTTAATATTTTTTAATCCCGGTGAAATCACAATTACACCTTAAAGGCACTTCAGACCATTACATTGATGATGATAGCCAAGATATCGTATATATAGAAAAACAAGTAAGCAAAGGCTATAGACGTGCGGGGCCGACCATGTGATACCCTACAACACTTCAATATGTTATTAGCCCCCTTATGTCCACATACAATTGGGAATATTTCGCTTTTATCATTTTGACCAGGGAAATTTTCTGTTAGGTGTTGTAGTCCATTTTACAGCTAAATATAATCCAATGATCATCCAAAATTCTAGAATCCCTCCCTGTCCTTAACTCTGTTCTCAGGGGTGTCAATTGGCTTCAATTGTGTGATCAGGATTTTTTTCTGTTTTTGGTTCATTCGAACCCCTAAATATTTTTCGATAATCTCCAAAAGCAAGAGGCCCTTCTGTATCTCCATATTTAGACTCATCTATATGATTTGCTTTTGTACGATATTTCGCTATATTCGTCAAAAAAAAAAAAAAAAAAAAAAAAAAAATCGGTTTAAAAAGAAGTTCGCCTTTTGCATATTTCGGATATCGCCTGTAAATAATGTGGGCATTTTTTTAAACAAAAGTACTGGGCCATTTCACCCGCTTTTCTATACTCTAACTTCATGTGAGATTTAGCGTCCTTTGGTTTCTATTTGTGACCATTATAACGGCTGCAAAATCAGAAACATTTTTAGTTGTTGGTCCATTTCGATCCCTAAATATATTGGGGAAATCTTTGAGCCTCACCCTACCCGTGTGAAAATTTTCGTAAGGATCGGACTGTGTTGTAAGGTGAAAACATATTACAAAATATACACTTCAATATTATAAGTCAAATTGAAACCAGTAAAGAAAGTCCTAAAGTCGGGCGGGGCCGATTTTATGATACCCTATGTACAAAATACTTTGTACATACTTTTGAGTGAGATTGAGGCGCTGGGAAAATCCAACAATTAAAAATAAATATTTCCAAATTATCAGTTTCCCAGCGGTCATAAAATATCACATGTGTAGAATTAAGTGATCTTGTGCGCTGTCGCATACGATAATGTGTAAGATAATAAAGGTCATGACCCACACACACAGTATCGATGCGTACAGTGGATAGCCAAGACCACTTGAATGAAGGGACAAGCACCCATGCAATGTTTCTTTTAAATCTAATAATAGATAAGAACAATTGTGTGGCTGCGACTAGGTTAAGTTAGATTAGTTTCAGTAGTACGTAAGGAACATATTTTAAAAATAAAATTAGAATTGAACCAACAGCCACACGATACGGTTGTGTCTTCTCTTCTCCCGCTTACATATGGTCAATCGAGCCTTCACTTTTTTATAAAGTGGAAATAACTAGCGGCCGTAAAAAAATTGTAGGAGTTTTCCCCCACCAGTGGTAAGAGACTCACTACAAGCAGAAATAGATATTCTCCAGAAATAGAGGAGAATTTCTACAAAAAACAAAGTCCGTTAAGGCATTTTAAATATAAGACCATAGGGGCATTTTGAAATAGCCGAAGGGACTAATTTGAATAAAAAAGCCATAGGGGCAAAATAAAAAAAAAAAAAAAAAAGCCATAGGGGCAAAATAAAAAAAAGCCATAGGGGCAAAAACAAAAAAAAAAAAGCCATAGGGGCAAAAATAAAAATAAAACGAAAAGAGGACAACAGAAGTCCCAAATAAAAAAAAAAATATATATACATAGTTTTGAAAAGAGGACAAAGAGTCCCATCTAAAAAATTTTTAAATTCATTCAAAAATGTTCAAAGACATAGAAGAAGCTGTCACCACTTTGGCAGACTATTTCGAGGTGTTAACGTCGACGTCAACCTTTGAAAAAGTGAAACACGTCGAGGCATGGAAAGTACTGGTAGAAAATACATATTACCAGTTACGACGGTACTTGAGGATATACCAAAAATATCTTCCAAGCCATATGAATGCATTACCATGTGAGGTGGATATGTGTTTACTGTCGGCAATGAAACTTCTAACAACTCGGAGTCGGAAATCCACAGATATGTACATCGATGATGAAATCGAAGAGTCGATGAAACCTCCATTAGGATGGATGCTCTCCGTAAAATGTGACTATTCAACTTGGGAAGAACAATTGGAAGAAAGCAGACAATTAAACTACGTAGAAAAAAAGGAAGATTACGACAGAGAATTGGAAGATGGTTTGCACGGACAAATGCGAGCCTATGAACACAATTTACAATCTCTGCAGGGGCAAGTAATCAAACTGCGTTCTCAAATAAAAATCGAAGTTGAAAAAAGTGAACGGATATTGAGAAATGCGAAGGCCCACGAAAAATATCTGCTCGCCCAACATGAAGAAAACATGCGGGCCAAGGATGAAGAATTGGAAGAGAAATATCGTGTTCATAAAGGTCAAGTGCGACATCTGGAAACCAAGTTAGAAAATATGAATGAAAAATTAGCTAGTTTGGAAGGAGCGCGGCAAGTCGTCGAAGCTGAGAGAGATGACCTGACCAAACAACTGACAAATTTAAGAGAGGGACTTAATGCTGATAATCTAAAACAGATTCGCTGCTTAGAAGGTAATATTGTGAAGTTTTTCCCGCCGGCAAGTCCTCAATTTGAGGAACAAGATGATGGAGGAAATTCAGAGGTCGAATCCGCCCCCACCAATGAAGCACTCGGTGAAGAACGAATGGATTTTTACGATGACAACGAAAAGATTGATAATGGGGACTACCTAAATATACATTTGGTAAGAGAAGAAATAAATAATCTTGTTGCAGAAGAGACAAAAGAAGGAAAGCCGTTATGCACAAAAGGCCCCAACATTTACGGCGAATATAATTATTACGACAACGATTCTAACGGAAAAGAACGCATCGAAGAAGTGGGAAAAGCCGAACAAATTTCTCTGGCTCCGGTTCCGAAAGAAATCAATAGCAAACCGTCAATGGCCATTAAAACAGAAGACGACAAACCGAAACTTACCATAAAACCATTGCCAATACTTTTCTACAGTGATGATGACAGTCTGCAACGATGGACTATCAAATCGGCAGCATGGACAATGAAGCCGGCAGATAAAGGTGGCGGTATCGACAAGAGAGACTGGGCAAAGAAATGGAGTCGTTTCCTGAAAGCGGTTACTTAACGAGACATTCATATTATTTTACATAGTATATACATGTTTATATATAGATTATATTTCATATTGTTATATTTGAATATTTCGTGCCAATCATTTTATAAAAAAAAAAATACAGTCCACTATAAAAATATACACATTTAAGCCGCCCGGGAGAATGTACAAAATACTTTGTACATACTTTTGAGTGAGATTGAGGCGCTGGGAAAATCCAACAATTAAAAATAAATATTTCCAAATTATCAGTTTCCCAGCGGTCATAAAATATCACATGTGTAGAATTAAGTGATCTTGTGCGCTGTCGCATACGATAATGTGTAAGATAATAAAGGTCATGACCCACACACACAGTATCGATGCGTACAGTGGATAGCCAAGACCACTTGAATGAAGGGACAAGCACCCATGCAATGTTTCTTTTAAATCTAATAATAGATAAGAACAATTGTGTGGCTGCGACTAGGTTAAGTTAGATTAGTTTCAGTAGTACGTAAGGAACATATTTTAAAAATAAAATTAGAATTGAATCAACAACCAAACCATTCGGTTGGTTTTCTTTTCTCGCTCTTTTACACCCTACACCACTTTGCTAATTTAGTTGAGCTCCACTTAATAATTAAAAGTTTTTATGGGAGACTTCAATCATACACGCTATGATTATAATTATAATTTAAAATTCAAAGGACTAAATATGCCAAAGCATTTGTATCTTTTAAATTCGGACTTGTATTGCCCATTTGGTGCAAAATTAATTTGAAATCAGATAAAGATATATGTGGGAACTACATCCAAATCTGAACCGATCTCGATAAAATTTGGCAAAGATATTTTTGAGCTTTATTTGATATATTTCCCTGAATATCGTTGTTACGGAGTGCATATTACGGCTGTAGGTAACAAATACATTAAATCGGATGAACAATATATATGGGAGCTACAACTATATCTGAACCGATCTTCACCAAATTTGGCATACTACCTTCTAGACTAAATTCGGTCGTATGT